CCAAAACGCCATTCAGAACAGCTTACAGGCAATCAATTAAAACAAGACAGGCTGTGCCCCTAGGGTTACACTGTAAAAAACACAACACTCAAGGAGAAAGGGATATGGAAGAAAGAGGGAGGGTAAAAGAATTCAAGCACCAATCATTAAAAGTTAAACAATCTTACAATGATCAACTGCTAGGGAAAGAACAATGGAGCTGTTTTTTCAGCAGAGCGGATTGAATGGGCTTTGTTCACCATCTCTCCCACAGAGACAGCCTGCTGTAATGGCTGCTACCAGGTGACAGTTGAAGAAGAGAAGGCCCAGGGATGCTACTTATTGTCTCACATATATCATTCCACCCCATTTAGTCCTGTCACCGTAATGGACTTCTGTAGGAAAGTAAATATTGATGGCCATTTCCACTTGGATGACATAGAAGGCATAGTGTGGAACTAAAAGAAGGGTAGACTTCACATGCAGGTTGACACAAGTCTGCAGTTTCCAAAATGTGCCAAAGCTGCTTATGGGGTGTGCCCCCATTACTCCTTATTCTCATTTTTTAAAAATAGGATAATAGCCTGGACTCACATTCTTGGCAGCATCCTGTGTTCAAACAAAACATTGGGTTTGCTAAGAGTGTTGAATCTAGAGCAGGCATATCCAAAGTCTGTTTTGGGGGCCTAATCCAGTCCTTGTGGCAGTTTATTCATGGGGTTGTAGGGTAAAATCCTTAAGAAAGCTCAACAACTTCAGTCCTAAAAAAAGAGGTTAACAACTTTGGTTGGCCCTCACGGCCCTTCACTATCAAATCTGGCCCTCTGAAAAAAGTTTGGACACCACTGCTAAGGATTAAAGCATTCAAGAGAAGCAGAGAAGGGGTGCTGGATACTGACCCCCCCATGCCGCTTCCGTTGGGAAAGGGGTGTGGTTTAAGCAGCCTGGTCGCCCCACCCCTTCCCATTGTGCCCTGCCCCTTTCCCTACAAGGGTTCAGGTGAGTGCAAAATGCCTTGGGGTGCAGCAAGCTTTTCGGGGGGCTGGGGAGAGGATGCAATGGCAGTGGGATAGTGGAGGGGGAGATAGTAGGTGGGGGAGGGAGAGAGAACCTCCCCCCAAAAATGAAGGGAGGTGGGTGTGCAGCTGAGGTCCGTCCCCCCATTTAGAGTATTCTGATAAGCAATATGGATACTGTACTATAAACACATGCAGAAATACAAACGTTTCCTAAATTTCAGCTGAGTTTCCTGCGTTCCAGGGGGTTGGACAACCTATTTCTTAATAGGGTTAATTGGGTTTGGTGCTTTCTCTCTGCATGTCATTCCTTGAACAGCTTCCTGTGCAAAGATAAGGCTTGCTTCATTGCTCTGCTCATTTTTACATTTGACTAGTGTGTGAAGAGAAATGCAGCCCCTGGGCTGAAAAATGTCCCCCTCCTGCCCTCTTTGTGTTTGAAATTCTAGAATAAGAAACTGCCTCTTCCCCCTCAGTTGCTTTGTCTGTTTGTGACATCACAGGAGACCATACATAGACAGGGCTGGGGAAACTAGGCCTCAAAGGGGGAGGGCACTTGTTAATAAAGAAATGATGACTGAGGAGACCCCCCCCCTTGTGACATGTGTGGCATGTGGACTACGTGGCACCTTCAGAAACCCTCCCTGGCCCTCCCATTTTAAAAGAGTTTTCCCAAAATCTGTTAGTTTTTACAGTGCTGCAAGACCGTTTGTTTTGGCAGTTGAGGGATTGGTATTATTTATTCATTTTGCCCTTTGTGAGAGATAAATAAACTGGTTCCTTTGACTTAAGGTTTCTGGATCCTTTTAAATAAAGTGATCTGGACAAAATGGGTGAATTAGGAAAGCTTTTTATTATACACGCTTGCAAGTGGGGTAACCCAAGATCAGGCACATCATCAGGAAAAACACATCTTATAAAGTTGCTTGTCCGGCCGCAAGTCCCTCCTTCCATGCCCACAAGAAGGGCATCTGCCTCCTTAACATTTTGCCATTCCACTTCCCATGTTAATCATAATACAATACAATACAATACAATACAATACAATACAATACAATACAATACAATACAATACAAATACCTTTATTGGCATTTCAAGTTAAGACATTTCAAAATGGCATGAGATACAAAGTCTTTCTTCTTCCTGTTTCCGAGAGATTTGAATGGGGAAATAAATAATAATAATAATAATAATAATAATAATAATAATAATTTATTATCCTGCCCATCTGGCTGGGCTTCCCAAGCCACTCTGGGTGGCTGTGGCGTTTGCCTCCTAGGTGGGTCATAAGGAAAGGGTTAAAATGAGTGTGATGTGATTGGCCAGTGGAAACTCATAGGAGGAGTTAGAGTGAGAGTGGGTGTTGTGGGAAAGTCAGTTGAGAGTTGGGAGTTGGAGAAGGAGGAGGGAGGAATAGTTTGTGGGTTGGTCGAGTTGTGAGTGAGAGGAATTGTTAGGTGGAGTCAAAAAGATAGTTGGAATAATCAGTTTGAAGTTGTTAGGAACGCATAGGACAGTTAAGGAACTAAGATTAATAAACTGCCAAGAAAAACTAACTGAAACCAAGCTTGTTCATGCCTAAAAATAAACTTGATTATTTGTTAACGGTAACAACTGACTGGACTCCGGGTGTACTCCTGAGGAGAAATGGGTAGGTGGCAGCAAAGAAAGCAATCACAGTGGTGGCACAGGGTCAATAGACCGTCAAACGTCTGGGGGCCCTGTGTGATCGCCACAGTGGCTTCCAACAAAATATTAAAACACAGTAATGCATCAAACATTAAAAGCTTTCCTAAACAGGGCTGCCTTCAGATTCCTAAATAATAAGAGGCAGTGGGGTGAGGGAGGCCAGGGCCACATCCACACCATTTAAAGCGCTATGAAGCCACTTTAAACACTCATGGCTTCTTCCCCCAACGAATCTGGGAGCTATAGTTTGAAAGGGGTGCCGAGAGTTGTTAGGAGACCCCCTGTTCCCTTCCCAGAGCTACAACTCCCAGAGTTCCCTGCCAAGAAGGGATCCCTACCCCCACCCCTACCCCAACCTTAATCCTATCCCTAACCCAACCCCAACCCTTAACCACCCTAACAACTCTCCGTCCCCTTAACCACCTACAGCTCCCAGAATCCCTGAGGGGAAGCCATTCCTGTTCAAAGCATCTTCATAGCACTTCCAACGGATGGTGCGCGTAATGTGGCCTAATGTTTCCTCCCTCGTTTTCCTCTCTCCCACTACCCCATCACTTGCAATGCAGCAGATGTCCGCCTGCAGTCTCCCTTCAAAGCTCCTTCTCTCAGGTATGGCCACAGCCTTGTCCATTGCTCACTGCCAGTATTTGGCTTCATTTCTCTGAAGTAAATAGGGACGTCCTGCAGTTCTCTTATTGACTTTGAAGGCTGGACTTGGGGAAAACCTCACCGGCTCCAGACATCCCAGTAAGGCAAAGGCAAACAGGTGAGTGGGGTGGCCACCACCCGACAGCATCCCCCCAGACTCCTCTGTTTGGCTGCCTGTTAACAAACAAGGCTTCCAAACCAGTCTGCATCCATCTCAGCCAGCGTAGCCTCGCGGCATCCACTAGCCTGGATCCAAACTCTTCTGACAACCATCCACCAATTGCAGCCTCGCCAGGTCCATTGCCAGACATCAACCAACTTCAGTCGCCTTCAAGTAGCGATCCCATCAGCAAGTAAACTTTGTACTTGCCTTCTCCTAGCTCCACAGCATCCCAGCACCAGGCAATTGCCTCCTTCCGCTTGCCAGCTTGCTGCCACGGGGCAGGAGACTACCAGGGCTGTGCCACCAAGCTGCCCATTTCTCTCTAGGGACGGCGACTGCTGAGGTTTGCTCCTTGGCCCACATTTATACCCGCTCAGCTGCCAAATGTTTTTGTGACATCACAGTCAACCCACAGACAATGGCAGCAGCTGGGGAGGCATCACCATCATCCCCCCCCCAGCCCTCACAATGGTGAGCACAGCTCAGCAGCCAAACACCTCCCCCCCAAGTTGTGCCAATATCTGTGAAGGCCACACCGGAAACCCAAGGTGGCAGGAGGGGGACATTTTTCAGCCCAGTGGTTGCATTTCCCTCCAGTAGCTGGGGCAAGTAATAAAATATTATTTATTTAACTAAGAGAAAAGTTATGAACTAAGCGCACAAACAAGATGTAGCGTGTGCACCATTTCATGTTCTGCAGTGGTATCTCAGGTTAAGAACTTAATTCGTTCCGGAGGTCCATTCTTAACCTGAGGTACCACTTTAGCTAATGGGGCCTCCCGCTGCCACCGCACGATTTCTGTTCTCATCCTGAAGCAAAGTTCTTAACCCGAGGTACTATTTCTGGGTTAGCGGAGTCTGTAACCTGAAGCGTATGTAACCCAAGGTACCACTGTACTGTACTGTACTGTAAAACCTTAACTGGCAGGCATTCGCCCTTGAATCTGCCTTATGACTTCAGTACTGCCACTACAGAGTCACAGTGTCATCATAATTTCACCATGGCAACCAGCTGCTTCATTTCCATTTATTTGAAAGGTAGGTTATTGAGTATTTATTTTATTTATTTATTTTTGTATATAATATTTATTAAGTTTTCCATTTTAATAATCCAAAAAGAACCATATTAAAACATTCCAAATTACAATACAATCAAAAAGCCAACTATAAATGCCAAATTATGTACCTTTGGGTGGCTTCCCAAGCTCTGAATTTCACGGAGTGCTAATAATCTAATATCACATTGCATTTCTTAATTAGTGAACAAACCATTCTGATGTTAATGCTTCACTTAATTTACATTTATGTTTACAACCACTGGTCTGCTCAAACTTTCGTCTTCATACTTCTGTGTGAAATATTTTTGCCAACAGGAGCCATAATACACCACAGTCCCAGACAAAAAGACACCATTAGCTCCGGGTAGCCATCCAGAGTTCCCCTCTGTAGTCTCGCACCATCTCCCAGCATGCTGGTACCTCTGCAAAAACAAAGTAGCTCCAGTCCAGAATTTTTTCCTTCCTTCCACTGAGGAGATAGCAGCAGTGTTCTTTCAAACCCACTTGCGAATTTCAAACCGTTACCTTTCGAGGGAGGTTTACCAGGTAAAACTGCAAATACATATATATCAAAAGCGAATAAAAAGGGCTCACCTCCTCCTGGGGATATACAATTAATCCGTCAATTAATTAAACGAGTGGGTCAGTTTGTACTTTTGTTTCTGCTCCTCAGCGATCTTCAGTTTCATTTTCTACACACAAAGATATTTTAACTGCGTCATTAAAAAAGGTAAAAGACCCCTGACAGTTAAGTCCAGTTGCAGATGACTCTGGGGTTGCGGTGCTCATCTCGCTTTACAGGCCGAATACCATCTCCTAGGTTGCCACCCCTTGGAACTTCTGAGGGCTAGGAAGACTACCCAGAGGGCCTCTTCTGCTCAGCGTCTGAGAGGACCTGTAGGGAAGGAGGTGACTTTAGATCAGTGGTGGCCAAACTCGGCCCTCCAGATGTTTTGAGACTACAACTCCCACCACCCCTAGCTAACAGAACCAGTGGTCAGGGATGATGGGAATTGTAGTCCCAAAACATCTGGAGGGCCAAGTTTGGCCACCACTGCTTTAGATATTTGTGGGCTAAGGCTTTATGCACTAATGTGAGGGTCTAGAAATGAACTGACAACCAGGGCAGCTGGCCATTAATCCAGTTGTCACCTTTTGGACAAGTTGAAGTGTGCGGCTGTAAGTGCTACAAGGCACATGAGGGAGGTTCTGAAGGAGGATGGTTGGTGGCTATTTTGGAAAATGGCTTCCTCAGACGTATGCAAACCTGCATATATCTACCCAATCTCTCCACCCCAGGTTGAAACGAAATCCCAGGTTGAAGCACAACGATACTTAAGGAGACCACCACTCCTTTAAGGCGATTATAGGCTGTGTAAAAATGTTGAATTTCAGTTTCTCTAGGATGTGTTTCGGTTGCTCATAAAATGTGTGATTCAACAGAGCTGCAAAGGGTGTCCTTATTGAAGCTAGGCAGATGCAGCAACTATTTTAATTACGTTCGTGATATCGCAACACTATTAAAAGAAACAAAAGAACATTCCCATTAGCTCTTTTATAGGACAGTGATGAGGCTACATTCTCTAATTAAAGACCTGGCCGCCTTATGCTAGCTGATAAATAAAGCAGACAGCATAAATGAATGCCAACAACCCCACAGACAATCTAAACTTGTTTCTCAAAGGCCCTTTTTAGCACTCCCCGTTCCCCCGCCAGAGCTACAAGACCAAATAAAGTCTTAGATCTCACCTCAGCACCGATGATCTCAGACACATACAGACACACAATGCTCCTCCTAGTCATTTCCCCTTCCTGTTCCTGCAGTAGAAAGATATTAATAAGCTTGTTATGATTACAGAAAGACTATATGTGCCCACAATCCTCTAAAGCACAATAAGACTGCTAAGAACTGATTAAAGAAAATGTTTTTAATATCTAAACATACATCACAATGCTTTGGATCCTGTGTTTGAAGACTGGTGTGTCCCTTAAAACGCAAGAGTGGGGAACCTTTCTTCAGCCCAAGGGCCACATTCCCTTCTGTGCAATCTTGTGGGGGCCACATGTCAGTGGTGGGCAGGGCCAGAGGTCAAAGTGGGCCTAATATATATATATTTACAGTAAGCTGGTTTCTACAAACATTCATACACCCTCCGTATTGTCAATCTAGTAAAGCAAGAATCATGATCAAGTGTTCAAGGCAGGATCATTCCAGCCCGGCAAAAAACACCCAAAGTCGGGACACTGAGGGGGTGAGGCCTGGAGAGATGGGGCGTGGCTTGGGGAGAGTCCCAAGGGCCACATAGAAAGGCCTGGGGAGCCGCATTCTGCTACTGGGCCTGAGGTTCCCCACCCCTGCAAGGTAGCCATGGCAACCGTGGTGGCTGGTGCCCAGTGAGCCAGTGTGGTGTAGTGGTCAAGAGCGGTGGACTCGTAATCCGGTGAACCGGGTTCGATTCCCTGCTCCTCCACATGCAGCTGCTGGGTGACCTTGGGCTAGTCACACTTCTTTGAAGTCTCTCAGCCCCACTCACCTCACAGAGTGTTTGTTGTGGGGGAGGAAGGGAAAGGAGAATGTTGGCCGCTTTGAGACTCCTTCGGGTAGTGATAAAGAGGGATATCAAATCCAAACTCTTCTTCTTCTTCCCATGGAGAGAGGAAGTGGAGCCAGAACCAAGGACAGGCAGAGCCAACTTACTTCAGTTTTGCTCCCATACTGTTCCTCCACCTGGTTGAGTTTATAATGGCACCACTGAGACAGAGGAAGATGACTGCCATGCCCCCACACCCACCGCCCTTGACTGACTGTAAAAAAGAAGACAGGCGGGGGGGGGGCCCGAGCTGGGCCCCATTCATATTAACGGACCACTCTGCCAAGGAGTGGAAAACATGGCTGCCGTATCAGGAGTGAAGTGACCCTTCAGATGGTGGCTGCTGAAGGATGGAGAGACTGGGGAGGAAGAATGGCTGCTCCCTGGACTGGTTGTTAAGTAAGAAGGCATGCAGGTGGGGGTGGGGAGGGTTAGCAGGGGTGGGCTGAGTTTTTTGGGGGGGCGTTGCCCCATTTGCCCTAATGGAGTAGCCACCAATTGATATCAATGGCTTCAAGTTGCAAGAAAGGAGATTGCGGAGGAAAAAAACTTTCTGACAGTAAGAGCTGTTTGGCGGTGGAACAGTCTCCCATGAGAGGTGGTTGACTCTCCTTCCTTGGAGGTTTTTAAGCAAAAGTTGGATAGCCATCTGTCATGGATGCTTTAGCTCAGATGGCTGCATTTGCAGCGGGTTGGACTAGATGACCCTTGGTTCCCTTCGAACTCTAAGATTCTATGATTCCTGCACCCTATAAGCTCTGTGGGCTGTTTTAGTCCTCACTTTGCCTGAGGCTCCAGACACATGAAAAACAACACCATACACACACACCTAAATGTAAATTTATGTCTGTATTTTATTATTAAAAATATCCCACTCTTTCATGAGTCCTCCATTTAGCATAATCACAAGAAGTCTTTAAGAATGGGTTGTCAGTGACTGGACCAAGATCTCCCTCTGTGGGCTAACTGTCACTGAGTTGAGATTTAAACCTGGATCTGCCCACCCCCCACCGCCTTTTCATATTCTAACTGCTAAACCACACTGGCATGCAAATTTTCCGCAAAGTAATACCCAAAACTACATTGTTTCTGCCGAGTGTGCAAAAAATATTTTGGTATTTGTACTTGACATTGCTTTATAAGCAATAAGCTTCCATTTAGTTTTCATAACATGTTTTATATTTTGCGGGATTTTGGTGTCTTTTGGTGGCAAAATTCTCAATATTATCAGACCTAATAAGCCACACTGATGTGTTATTAATAATGAATAATAATAATAATAATAATAATAATAATAATAATAATAATCAGGAGCAAGGTTAATTTGCCCTCATTCTGTCCAAGGACAAGCTGCCTGCTTGTCTTACATTTCTCACACAGGTAGAATTGCAGTATAAAATTTACTCAAACAGTTATGTTGATTTATTTGTTATGAGGGCAAACTTATTAATTTCTCTCTCACAGGAAGGAAACGTCCTGAATTTTAGCAAATCCTGTGCAGCGCCACCCTGTGGCTGGATAGAATATGGAATGATGGCTTCCAAAAGGAAAGTTATCAGGCAACGGCTGTCTTTTCCTGCATAAATTGAGGATGACTAATTCAAACTTTTGTTCTCTGACTCCTAATAGAAAGAAATCTCCACAACTCAGTATAACTGATAGAGGTTTCTGGCTTACTTGGTTGTATGTCAAGCCGAAGTTCAAAGTCTGAGGCTCGATCCACACAAGCGAAGTCCAAAGTCCTAAATCCAAAGGTCAGGAAACGAGGTTCAAGGTCAACCCAAGTAGCCCGGTCCAGCAGTCAGGAAACAGTCCAGAGTCAAACCCAAAGTGCAGTCCAGGCACATCCAGTTCAAGGTCCATCAACATGGATAGCTGAGCAGACACAGCTCCTCAGCTCTGCTGCCCTCTTATACTTTGCATGCCCCTTGTAGCATCTGGACTTGATGAGGCAGATGACCCTCACCTGTCTACTCCAGCTGAGCAATCACACACCTCCTCCCAGAGCTAGTGAGCTCCACCTGGCCAGCTAGGGAGCTGGGCTGTGGGCCCTTGCCTGCCTCAGCCTCCTGGAGCACCCTTCTTGCTGCTCCCTACACCTCAGAGCCCACCGTGTGCAGGGAGACAGGGCCCCCCCCCCTGGCTCTGGTGATGGGTCCTGCTGCTCTGGTTCCTGTGCACTGACCTCCACCCCCTCATCATCTCCCGTCACCCTGTGAGTACTTCCTACGCTAACCTTTCCTTCCCCATCCGCAGCTTGCCCTGATGTGTCCCAGTCCTGGCTACACCCCTCACCGGATTCTCTTCCCCAAAGTCCTGCCAGTTCATGACACCTTGCTTCAGAACCACACAGTTTATATGGTGTTTCCTGCAAGCAGGACAAACAATTGAACTGAATACAATGAATGTTATGTTACACCTTTCCCCCTCCCTCTCTTGAGTGGGAGGTGAGACTAGGCCCTGGTTTGGACCCTAGAATGCTGAATTTAACCCTGAACCAAACTGCACGCTAGTAGCTCAGGATTTATAATAATAATAATAATAATAATAATAATAATAATAATAATAATTTTTATTTATACCCCGCCCTCCCCAGCCAAGGCCGAGCTCAGAGCGGCTTACAAGCAATAATAAAAACAAGATGAATGATTACAACTTAAAAACAAAAATAAAATACAACATTAAAATAATGGAACATTAAAATATTAAAATGTAGCCTCATTGCAGGAGGAGAAGGAAAAGAAAAAAGAAAGAGAGGGAGGGAGGGAATCAAATTGGCTCCAAGCCAAAGGCCAGGCGGAACAACTCTGTCTTACAGGCCCTGCGGAAAGAAATCAGATCCGTCAGGGCCCTGGTCTCACGAGACAGAGCGTTCCACCAGGCCGGAGCCAGAGTTGAAAAGGCCCTGGCTCTGGTTGAAGCCAATCTAACTTCCTTAGGGCCTGGGACCACTAGGGTGTTGTTATTTATGGACCTTGAGGCTCTCCGTGGGGCATACCAGGAGAGGCGGTCCCGTAGGTACGAGGGTCCTAGGCCGTGAAGGGCTTTAAAGGTCAAAAGCAGCACCTTAAATCTGACCCTGTACTCCACTGGGAGCCAGTGCAGCTTGAAAAGCACTGGGTGAATATGCTCCCATGGGATTATTTAAGGGATTATATTGTGTTGCAAAGAAGTTTCAAGCAGTTGCAAACCAAGGCTTTGCTTCATTTACATAGGTGCCAAAGCTCTATAGAGAAAGATACCCAAATCCTGAAAGCAGCTCCGTTTTGCTGAGGAAATGTCCATAATTCTCTCAGAGCTGGAGCTGGCTGTGGCTCCCCGTGGAATGCACACTCAATGACAAACCTGGCTTGCTAAGGTGCAATGTGTCAGTGATCCTCACCCAGTCGTAGCTCCCTGGCAAACATGCCTGCCTGTAGTATTCATGCTTAGGCCTATGCTCAAAATGTGTACAGGGGGAACAGAATAATTGTAGAAGAGTCTGGACGCAATAAATACATGTAGCACAATATGTTTAGTTTTGTAATTGCGTTACTACTTGGTGAACAATTGGATTGATTTGCCTGCACATTTTTCCCTTAATTTCCCTCCCCAATGTAAAAAGGGTTATACAGTAGAGCGGGGAGGCACATGTGGCTCTCCATAACTTGTTGGACTTCGACTTCCAGTGGTCCCAGCCAGCATGGCCAATTTTACCAGCTATGATGCCTATGCCCTGCCTCCTTGGTTCGGAAAAATATACCTCTCAATACCAGTTGGTGGGAATCGCAGGTGGGGAATCACAGGTTGGCCACTGTGAGAACAGGATACTGTTGAATGTTAGAATGATGTCAGAATGAAGTTAAGTGGTTTAAGCAGCAATGTTATAAAGGTGTATGAAAAATGGATTATTAACAGGTGAGAACTCAAAGTTATATTATATTAAGTTAAAGGATTAAGATAAAAATAAAGAGGGAAAGAAATTGCTGAATTAACTAACTGAATTGGAATACAAAAAAGGGAGGTGTGAGGAGGTCAGGGAAGCAAGGTTATGAATATATGATATGGAAAGATTGATGTGTTTTCTTTTTAAATGTTTTTTATCTTTTTTCTGTATTTTGTATTTTTTTATTTCTATTTTTGTCTTTCTTCTATTCTTTTTATTTATGTAATTTTTTTCCTTTGAAAACTTAATAAATACCATTTAAAAAAAAGGATGCTGGACTAGACAGGCCTTTGGCCTGATTCACCAGGGCTTTTCCTTTGTTGTTATGTTAGGGATTTTTAGAGTTGTAGTCCAACAACATCTGGAGGGCCACAGGTTTCCCATTCTTGGGGAAGAGAAAGCAGTGGGGCAAGAGGAATTGTGGATAAGCCCTAAATGCTTCCGAGTGAAGCACCCCTTATCTGCAGCCATGCTGACTCGTCACTCAAGCTGGAGCGTTTGCTATTCTCTCCAGCACTGCTGGAAATAATCCAAGCTGAT